ATTTATTTACGCATACAGAGCTGGGGTACAGGCCAGAGGTGCAGGGTTGGTGAGAGGATTCACCAGAGACAGAGTGGGGACCAGAATAGGCTACTGCTGAGGGGAGCAGTGGGCGAGACAGGAGAGGTCTGCTGTGCCATGTGGGTCACCTCTGGGGCCAGGGATCAAACTCACACTGAAGAGGCTGCGCCCTGTTTGCAGTGCTGCATCCTAAACCATGTGCCACCAGGGAAGGTCTAAGCACCTTCTTTACAGTCACAAAATTAGAGGTGGGGGGAGGAGGGAAATGGGATATTTAACTTATTTATATGAGCAAATGGAGGAACTTCACAAGCACTCAGTGGCTTTACCTCATCTTTATGCAACTGATCACCATCATTTAGTGTCCTGAGAGCTGGAATGATCACCTTCCCATCTAGACAGGCTGACCCCAAAGTCCCTCAAAGAGGATTAGCTATATTAAAAAAAAAAAAAAAAGCTTCCTTGTAACATATACTAAAATTTGTTACATTCTCCCTGATATTTAATCATTCTTCCATGCTAAAGCTTCATCTACATCCTTTATTCTTTATGTGCTAAAAATGAAGAACATCTGGGCACCTCCCCAATGCTGTGGTGTTTGAAGACCATTCAATATTTCCTTAGCCATTTTCTTCTTCTTGGTGCAAAGATCAGTATCATTAGTCTTTTCACAAAATTATTCTACATCAAAGAAATCAAAAGTAAGTCTTAGGGAAATCTATCATTGGTATATCTGATTTTACAATAGAAATCAGCCTAACTGATGTTTCAGAATTGGGTAACCCTAAAACAGTATCATCCATTTGCTAGAGTATTTATATCAATGGCATAAAACTTAAATACATTTCATAGAGTGAATTTTCTATCACCTTTCTCCTTAACCTGCTTTATTGTTCTTGAAAAACTTAATCATTTCCTGAAAATGTGTTAAAATTCAATTGGTTATAAACTGTCTTCACTATGAGGATAAAAACACCCAAGGGCTCAGATTAGCCTTGAGTACTTTATTTTATCAGTAATACTCTGACCAAGGTCAGAGCAGGTATGTCAGTATTCAAGTAGCAATTATTGAATTAATAAATGAATGCATTCACAAATGAGTAACATTCCCATAGGTGGAAAGGTCTGAGTTATAAATATTCTCTGTATAAACACAGCACTCATTCATCTGAATGGGCCTGGAGCTGCTTGTGCGGGAGCATTGACTGATTCATCACAGATGGTGTCTTACAAAGAGAAGGTGCTGCATGAGATTAACAAGGAGGGAGGAAGAGGGAGACACTGAGGACAAACTGGAGATTAAATGGTGAGCAGTCAGTGCATGTGACAAGGCTAAGACTTAGATCTCAACTGAAGGAAAGCTGCCAAGGTATTTTCAGACATCTGCTTGCCAAGGCGTCCCCTTATTAGAGAGGTGGGGAAGCTCTTCTGAACTTGACTCAGGCTAAGTTCCATTGTCTTCTAACTCCCCCCAGGATCTGGCAATCTGGCAGAGAGCACTGGAGCAGCACTTACAAAGGCTGAATTTCCTTAATCTTCTCCAAAGCAGGTGCCCCAAGCTTTCTCTAATGTGTTCACAGCACACTTCCTACGTGGAATTCTTAGCTGATTTCCTCCTCTTCTCCTTCAATGAGAAGGATAAGATCCACTGTCTAACCCTCCACCAACAGTTCTTTGGCCTTCTCCTCCCACCTCCCCCACTGTTTATTTAGCACCTATTATGTGCCCCACACTCGACTTAGTGCTGGAATTAATAAATAAGGGCATCATCACTCCCTTCTACTAGAAATTGAGATCAAGTATGAAGACAAACACCCCCCATAAGAAAATATAGGTGGGTAGGTAGATACCTCGATATGAGGGGGGCTTATAAGCAAGGAGGAAAGGGGTGGTGAAGGGTGACTGGATTCAGAAACAGTTTCAGGTGATTGCTCCATCTTCTGAATTCCGTAACTCTCTAAGTGAGCTCGCTGCCCTCTGCTGTTCCACACTCACACCCTTCTCTACCCCAGTGATACTTAGGAACTCTGTCTGACATTCCACTCACCAGTGCTCCCATTTTAACCAGGCAGTCCCCTTCCTAGCCCATATGATGGCAGCTTTCTTTTGGACTTTTCTTTCAATTCTGAACAGCATCTCCTAGGAGGCCTTCACTCAGCAGAGACTGATTAGGGACTCAGCAGCATTTGGTGCTTCCCTGAATGACTCTGATTATGGGACGACCATTCAAGAACTGTCCTCCTTTCTAATTGTCTTGGGAAAAATCCTCAGAAAGGAAAAAGATCAGCACCTTTCAGTAATAGTTATAGAAGTTGGATACATATTTATGAGCTCCAGTCCCTAATTTTGAATCAAGAAATAAATATAGCATAGGTTTGTTGATCGGTCGACCTTAAAGAACAAGTGGGGGGTATTTGGGGGTCCTCTGTGTTCAGTTTTCTTCACTGCTTCTATGTCTGGTTTATAATTATTTCAGAAGTCCAACATGTCATTTTCTGAATTAAACATAGAACATTAACAGTGACAAAAATCTGAATCTCTTCTTTAGTCTCACCATTTAAGTGGGGACTATGATTTTGAAGGATATAGGAGTCATGTATATAACACTGTGAAAGTACAGTAAAAAAAAAGTAGTTATAATTAAAAAATATATTTAAAGATTTTATTTATTTATGCATACAGAACTGGGGTACAGGCCAGAGGTACAAGGGTGGTGAGAGGATTCACCAGAGACAGAGTGGGAGCAGAACAGGCAGATCAAGAATGAACACTGCTGAGGGGAGCAGCGGGTGGGTCAGGAGAGGTCTGCCTCGACTTGTGGGTCACCTCTGGGGTGGGGATCAAACTCGCACTGAAGTGGCCATGGTTTGTCTTGGCTTGGCTTAACTTTGAAGTGCAGCGGTCCAACCTGCTGTGCCACCAGGGAGGGCCCCTTGCCACCATCTTGATGTAGTGATTACTTTTTAAAAATGTACCTGAAGATTCACTTATTTTACATAAAAAAACAGCTTCCCTGCTACTTATTCCAAACCAATGAAATTTTATTATACATCTTGTAGGACAGGCTAAAAATAAAAAGTAATGAGTTCATGTGTGCTTTTTAAATTTTTTGCTACTATATTAGATTTACTATTTTGACTTTATTAGGCATAATTAAGAACTTGAATATATTATTTGTATAAGGAGGTTATAATTTCTCTTTCCTGGAGTTCTCTCAATAGAAAGTAAATCCTACTCATAAGTTTGTAAAAGCCAAAAAATATGGGATTAAAATACATTTCTACTATAGGTGCTCTTTAGTCACTAAAAAGCATTTTTTTCAAAAGTATTTGTATTGAGTTAACCTTGATTTAAAACTATCTGTTTTAGGGGAACAGGATCACATCTCTACAAATGTATTGCATCTATCTATGCAATAAAATGGATTTAAAAAATTCTAAAATTCTTTTTCTAGTATTTGAAAATTCTTTAATTAATTGCTTAAAAATAAAATACTGCACTTCATTACAAAATTTAAATGTAGTACTCAATTCAGCCACAAGAGGGCCCCATGATTTTTTCGAGCTGTGTGAACTATAAATTAAGAGTCAAAGATAACTCTGGTAGGACATGCTGACTGGTAGTTGGGTTAGCTAGCATGGTTTCCCCAAATTAGATTATCTGAAGATTTCTTCTGTCATAAATTTAAGAGAATGGAAATATTCACCTGTTTATACTGTCTTACATCAATTCCTGTCACTTAGTTATAGCCACCCTCCATTATGGTTGAAAATTAGACTAGAACCTCTTAATCAGGAAATCAGAGAGTATATACAGGAAGAGGACAGAATGATGAAAGGGAAACATGGTATCAGTAGTCAAATCCTAAACCACAACAAAGCTTATCTGGAAGTATCTCTTCAAACTTGAAGGAAGTAATTAACCCAAAGATGTAGAATAATAAAATATTCAAGAAAAACATTTCAAACACCCCATATAGTACGAAAAATGCCAAAGAAAACATGATCTCTTTATTGCAACTTGGGTAAACCACTGAACCCATAATCTCTACTGTTAAGACTCTTGGATATAATCAAATCTCTCCAAAATGAAATACTCAAAATGAACTCAAAGCCTCCATCCTTTCTGGATAGATCTCCCTACATACATTCTGTACCAAAGAGAAAATAGAAAATGTTTAATATGTTTTGTCTCAACTAGACCTGAGCTACCAAAAAAAAAAAAAAATGTTACTACTAGTTGAAAAGCAGGGTCAAAGCTACACTTGATGAACAAACATCAGTACACAAAAATTGGTAATTCAACTCATTTACATAGATTACCTACAAAGCTGCAATTAGACATTCAGGTTTAAAATCACAGTGCATTATTCAACCTGGAAAAAAGGGACAAGTACCTCTCTACTGACTACTCTACCCACTGGGTTCTGAGTGTGATCCAGTCTCTCCGAAGTGATGGGGGGTCCAAAGCACCTGCAGTGTGGAACTGTACCCTCCCCGCAGAAAGTAATAACTTGTTATTTTCCTAGTGACTTTGTTAGCTAGAGGCTCGCATGACCACTGTTGTAACAAACAGATAGAACAGGGTCAAAGACATGAGAAACTAGAGAGAAAAGGAAAAGAACAAACACAATCAAAATGGCACCGACTGGAGAACCATGAACACGAAGACACCACGTGCTATATGTGAGCACACCACACATACGCTCAGAAACTGGAAAGCCTGCTACACATATAGTTTACTCCTCCTAGACCAGTACCCAGAAAATCCTCAAGTCTGTTCTCTTAGTTAACGATGATGAAGGTCTTTGGTATTTTTCTGTCTCCATGTTCAGGCCACATTAAGAAAGTATGCAAATAAACCATCGGAAAGATAGACATGTTGAAGGTGTCAGTTACCCACCAACCTGCCGACCAGCAGTTCTTCAGACAGCCCGCACCTGTCCCCGGCCCCCTTGCCTCCAAAATGCATGGACTCACCGATGGTGTAGAACCTCTTCAGTTCACTCCTCCGGGAAGGATGCTTTTGTGTGTTTGCTGCATTGTTCTGCTCTTCTTCAATAATGGGGGTCTTAGGTGTGGGGGGCTTGCTGGCTTGAGGCATTTGCTTTCCTGCACCAGCCAAAGGGTTGAACCCTGGAGCCGTGATATCCACCGACTGGGACTTTTTCTTCAACCTGTAGGAAAGGAAGATCAAGCACTGTGATGATCCCCTTCCAAGACTCTTGTTCCATCTCTATCTCTACATTTTTAAAAAACTGAGTTATATTTGGCTCTGAAATAAAGACAAATTCAGAAGCTATCTACTTTCTCTACAATATTTTAAATTCTTTGCGTGTTTTCAAAATTAGCTGAGAAAAAGCAATCTTCTGCTGAATCATTTTGAAAGGTTTTATTGAAATATAAGAAAATGAAGGATGATAGGCCTTTTATTTTTCTAATAGCATACTAAAATGTGCTGGCAGATGAAGATAAAAAATTTTGCTATTGTTTTTAGTTCTGAAAGGTTTTAGTGCTATAGTAAAACACTAGTTAGACATAAATAGCTGTAACCCAGAAAAGGATAATGAAATGATTATTTGGGTTAGTAGAAGTTGTCAGTGCTTTCTGTTTAACATATAATAGCCTTTCAGCTGCAAAATTAGAGAACATATTATTTCTTCAGACATTGTCAATTGCAACAATATTGCTCACTTCCACATTTTAGAGAGCTGACATCAGGCCCCAAATGGAATGCAGAAAGCTACCCATTTCCCTAAGGGAAAACATTTCCCTACTTACACATGAGAAGGTTTCCGTAGGTGTAAAGCCATTGGTAAATGATACAGGTAAAGCAAATACTTCAACTAAACAAAGTGATATTCTAATGTACCTGAACCCCCAGTCAGCTTACTGGTGCTTACAAAGGCTGGTGTTAAGCGTCACTGTTTCAAATCATAATTCCTTATAGAAAACAAGTGGGGAGTTGTCTTTATCAGCTCAAGTGATCACACCTGAGCCTCTGCAATTTCCTAAATGTTTGATCTATCAGTGCACCTCCAGGATTTTCCACTACCTTTGCTCCCATTTTCTCCCCCAGTCAGACCCTGCACATGTTTCCAGGCTCAGGGAATGTGTCCTCTTCTGGAGTTTCCAACTGCATAGACCTTGGAACTTACCACCATTCGCAGAGGGGAGATTCATAAAGAATGTTCAATAACATTCTATTAAGTTCAATTTACCAGAGAAAAAGCTTGATTTAAGGAACAAAATGTATCAATTACCTACAAAAATCATTAATGAAAGTGACATTTACTCAATTTTAGTCATTAATTACCACCTATATGATTTTTGCCAAGTCTACTTTTATTATCTATTTAATATTCATGAAAATCAGCTCACTTTATGCAAATTGCTAACAAATAATTTTCAAAGTTTTCAACAGTGTTAGTGATTAGAAATGCAAATTAAAACCACATTATATTCATAACGCATCCACCAAAGTTATGGTAGTAGAAGACCTGCTATGATATTATATTAAGTGTGCATGAAATGTAACTGGAATTACCAATACCAGCGTAGGGAGTGTGAATTGATATGACCACTTTGGATAAATATCAAAGCATGAATTTTTGATTCACCTACTTTATTCTTAGGAAATACCAAACACAAATATATATGTCCACCAAAACACAGGCCATGTGAGTCACCTCTGGGGAGGGGACTGAACTCATGCTGCAGTGACTTTAGCTTCTTAGTGCTGTGCTTTACCCTGCTGCACCACCAGGGAGGGCCAGAGTTATCCACCTTTTATGAATGCCTTCATCTTCCCAATAATATCATTCTTTTAAAAATTGTATGTATTTTTGAGCTAATACTGATTTACATTATTGTATATGATTTAAGATTACAGGGACATAAGCCCACAGATGAAAGTTACCCCACCCCACCCATCACCAAAACTCTCATAATTCTCCATCACAGACCACTGGGCTCCTGCCTGTCTTTGCCCCTGAGCCCCTCCAGTAGTTTCAATTCTATAGTCATCTTTCTAGGGGTTTTACCAATGTCTTTGTTTCTCATTATTCCATACAAGGGAAATCATCTGGTATTTGTGTTGCTTCTTGACTTATTTTGTTCAGCATATTACCCTCTAGCACCATCCATGTGGTCACAAAAGACAGGATGTCAACTTCTTGCTTAAATAGCTGAGTCGTACTCCATTGTGAATAACACTTTTTTTTTAACCTTAGTCTGCAATTTGTAACTAATGTTATGATTTCACTAGAAGCAATTAAAGAATGCCTTGAGATTAATAAGAAAAACAAGCTGTGAAATAAACTGCAGATCACAGAGGCAACATTTTTTCTCCAACATGGCTTTCCAGAAAGGCACACTTAGACACACACTTACACTATACTAAAATGATGACACTAAACTTTGAGAAATCACCACTATTTGTCCATTTTCATGAAGTGTCCATTTTTGTAGTTCACTCTATAAACTTTATTTAAAAATTAAATTTAACTTTTAATAAAGTAAATTAAAGGAAAGGTGCAGCGAAATAGGGGAGATCAAAGAAGTTGTTGTGTTTTAAAAGAAAGCCCACTGGGGCCCTCCCTGGTAGCATAAGGTGTTTAAAACGCAGCACTAGGAAGCTAGCTTCAGCTCCTTCAGCTAAGTTACATCCCCAGCCTGAAGCTGACCCACTTGGCATGGCAGACCTCTCCTGACCCGCCCACTGCTCCCTCAGCAGTGTACTTCGTCAACATGCCTGTTCTGCTCCCCACTCTGTCTCTGGTGAATCCTCTCACTGCCCCTGTACCTCTGGCCCACACCCCAGTTCTGTATGCATAAATAAATAAATCTTAAAAAAAAATAAAAGAAAGCCAACTACTTGCTAGTTCTCAGCAGAGATTATTTTAAAAATGTAAATGTGGCCAACTCCTCAAATTCACATACCAGATAACTTTATCAAGAGAAACTATTTATTTTATGTTATCCTATTTTAGATTTGATCAGTTACTGAATTGTTTTCTACTGGAGAGTATCAGCAATGAGAGGTTGTGCTCTCAGAGATAAAGTGCTAGATACTACAATTGTGAAGCGCTTCATCATGTCAAATTGTCTCTGTGGCTCACAAGTCCTTCTCAGAGTCTCTGGACTTCAAAAAGTCAAAGACAAGGAGAAAATAGCCCTTCAGGGTTTTTCCTTTTCTTTCTTTTTGTCCATCCCCAACAAACACTCTTTCCAATTAAGACTAGAAATGTATGTGTCTTCCTCTTGTTGCTGGAGTCTGCAACTTGCCAGTAAATTTGCTGGCTTGTTTAGAAAAGATTTCCATTTGCACGTTCTTAGAAAGCAGAACTGTGTGGGTAACTGAATTATGTCTTAAAGCTTTTAAAATTGACTGCGGTGGTTGACAAGGAAACCTGCTAAATGCTACCTTCAATTTCCAAATTTTATGAAAGGGGATTTCTTTGTAAATTTTTAACAATGTTCTTAATTTAATGTGTTAAACAAATGTAAATATAACATTATGGAATATGTAGGTGTATATGAGATAAAATACCTATTGATAACAAATGAAACATTACGAATAGAGGCAAAAATAATCCTTAATAGGCACCCAAAGGATCTTTGTTTAATGTGCTTCGTTTGCATTGCCAAAGCAACTGAGTGCCAACCTTCTTGGTAGAGAAAATGGACAAGAACAAAAGGAACCATCCTTCTCAGCATGGCCCCGCCAGGCAGACTCTTCTATTTCATAACATTTGCCTTTTATTCCTGTTACCTCATTTTTGAGCAGAAAAGAACTTGTCCTACCCTTCTTCACATGTATTCCAACACTTCCTTTCAGAGAAGTAATTAAGATGAACATTTCTCTGATATTCAACTTCTTCATCTATGAAAAGACGATAAAATACACCCAGAAAGAGGATAAAGCAAATTTCCTGGGTGCCAATGCGCACAAAGTCTGCTCTCAATCAATGCAGACGTTGATCTCTTTCTAAAAAGATGAAGAGGTTGACATAATTTTGTTCTTCAAACTTCCAAGGGATCCGGAGGAAATCAGCTTCTCAGAATTCATCACCATTGCACCACATTAGAAACAAGGTGAGCCTGCAAGGACCACGCTGCATGGCGCAGCCTCACTCATGCTAGGGTGTGGGTCTTCGGGGAGCAGTAGATGGTAACAAGAGGACAAGCTGTAGTGAGTAATGTCATCCTGGGCTTCGGGAAAGTCCTGAGGTATTTTTTCAATGTTTTTCAAGCAAAAATATCATGACTGCTTTCAACAACCTAATATTTCTCCTGAGAGATTAGCAGAATCTTTTGGGAAATAATGAAGTTCATTAGATTGTTCACTTGAGTGCATACTCACACACACATGTATATACATATATTTAATCTGTGATTACAAGCAAACTTAGATTCAAAGGAGACCAGGGAACATGAGAAATCAAGATCAAGAACTGAAAGAAAGTGTTCTGTCTGCCACTCTGCAAAAACAGGACTCTTGTACTTTCGCACAGCTCTCCAAGGAGCAGTGTCTATAGGCCAATGGTGACATGTGAAGTTGAAAGAACTAGAGAGCAAAAGAAGTAGCTAAGGACTTTCAACATCAATTTAGACAGAACCATTCTCATAACTTATTTCCACTTTATTCAACAGATAAGACATCTTCCACCCATTTTCTGAATCACTGAGTAGAATACATGACTCTCTTGACTTACATGAGTTAATAAATTTCAAACTCAGGATTTGCACCCATGGCAAGTGCATTTGTTTTTCTGGTGCTCACCACAGAGTTCATCTCTCAATAATCTGGGTCAATTCTCTAATTCCATGGAGAAAGCTTTTTCTCTAAGCTTCTTTATATTTAGCTTTTATGCCTACTGTTTATTACTTATCAAAGTCTTTTGGTCTTTCTTTCCCTTTTTCCTCTCACAGTGTAATGTTTTCATCTTCCAACTCTCCATCTCCACCCTTTCATTATCTTACATTAAGTTAAAAAAAATCTAGAAATGTTTATCTTTCTTTGCCTACCTTTCTTATCTATCTTTGTGTGTGTGTGTTTGTGTGTGTGTGTGTGTAGAAGATCAGAAGTATAGGCCAGAAGTGCAGGGTGTGAGAGTATTTACCAGAGACACAGTGAGAGCAGAACAGGCAGTTCCACTGAAATGCATTGCTGAGG